CCTGCTCCCAAGAGAAGATAACTCTGCACTACGCAAAGACGGAATTCTTAGTTTACAAATACCGTATGGAATGAGAAGATCTAAAGACACTCTCAAACACGGATTCAATTTCTTACGGATGCCTCCAAACGCAACCGGAAGTGGAGTGAATTGCATTCAGCAGCACCTTGAGAAGCGATTCAAAACTTACAACGGTGTCAACTACAATGAACCAAAGAACCAATGGATGAGCGATCATTTGGCGTTAGTTTCACACACCCATATTATAACCGGAGATAAACATGATTCTTGAATTATTCCAAAAATGGGAGGATTCGGTTTATGTGTTTAAATCACAGAAAATTCGTACATAATGTTCTCACAAGAGGGCATATGTAGGATGTTATGATGAACACGATTTCTGATTTTACCTTGCCGTTATTGTCGATGATTGACAAAAATATGAGAATCATCTGATCTGAATCATCTGTCCAGTCTCCGGACGTCCAGTGTGTACGATGATAGTCCACAATCTTGTGGGAATATTCTAGTTCTTTCCTCACTGCCTTGTAGTGCTGAATCAGGAAACAAACGTAGGCAACGTCAAATCGATTTCTTGTTATGTGATCTTCCTACTTATTTTAACTAAAATACTTTTATAACATGTATCTTCCAAATCCTCTGGTTTCATTATGACCATACCACGCCAACAAATATGATATATTTCAGCAGGTTTTTTTATGCTAATATTTGTTCAGAGCTAACCAAAAAAGACAAAAAAATGCATTCCAAACTACATTTCTAAACCGCTGAGTAAACTCTTTTACAAAACTGTCTCCTACTGAGTTTAATCAATAACATTGGTTAGTGTTTATTACTTTCATCAATTTAATTGAGTCCTTAAAAGAGTTCTAATACAATTTGGAATGATGAACAATCATATTAATTTTCTCAATTTTCTCAAAAACTACCAGTATTTTGTTTCGTTTATAATGAGTTCCGAAAACAGACACGCTTAACAACGGGCCTACACATATTAACATACGAACACACGATAACAAGAGCTAGGCTTTCATATAGTATCTAAAGAATTTCATAATCAATCTGAAGTAAAAAAAACAAAAAAACATGTTTCGCATAATAACACCATAACGGGAGCCTGCTTATATCAATAGAGTTAATTCTTACTTCGAATATTAAAGATCTAAATATCATAAAAGAAAAGACAATTGCTTTCTGGGATTAAAGGTAAAGTTAGTTGTAAGCTGTACCTCTTTACATTCCTCCTTTGCCATAAACTCTGTCAGTAATCCTATGGCATCCCCAGTACATTGTCCGAAGATCGTTCCCAGAATTCTCTGCACAGTATCACTGTTTACATTCAGTGGCTTGGTGCAACCGACTGGTGCATCTGTGGTACCTGCTACTGGTGACGCAGTGGCGCCATCTGTTTGTGTGGCGCCACCTACCGGTATATCTGTGGCAAGGTCTGATGGTAATGATGTGATGCCATTTCCTGATGGAGTCGTTGGTTTTTCTGTTGAATGTGATGAGGCGCCATCTTCTGATTTACCTGTGACGCCATCTTTTGATGATGATGTGGCGTCATGTTCTGGTGCTGATGTGGTGCCACCTACTGGTGATGCTACCGAACCATCTACTGTGGTTTGTTTCCCATTAGACAAACTACTCTGGGTGTTGGTCTGTAATACACATTAACATGTAGCAATTCATCTGATTCACAATGAAAGGACAAAAATACATATTTTATCACCAAAAGTAATTCATACAAAAATCGATAGCCCACCTAAGTCAAAGAATCATATCAATTAGCGCTCAACCTCCCAACCCCGTGAAAGGCATGTTGTACCTTGGTGAAATTTTCAGATCCTTATTTACTATATAACACTATAACTCCCAATCCCGTTCGAAACCACTGTTTTTACCCTGGTCCCCAAGTCTAACTTCGATTACTAGATAGAACCAATCATTTAAATTAGGATACCTATATGCCAACTTTTATAAAACGGACTCTAAAGTTTAGCCACACTGACACAACATATTAATGGGAATTCGTGTATTTCTTATCGTGAATCCAAGATTAATCCAAGGGTTTAGTTTCGCTCCCGATATATATGGATAACACAATTTCACCAGAGTAACAAATCCTACATACGTTTGATATCAGTGATTCTTTAATTACAGAATTTACCACTATATCACACTACCAAATTTGAATTGCAATTCTGTAACAAATTCATATCAACCATTAATGTCGTTGACCCACGTATTGACGTCCCCATTATGACCATGGCTGTGGCGAGGACTCGTTAACTTATTCACCCCTGAAGACACATTTGAACTCTTCTAATTCAAAGGTTG